GAGAAAATGGACTTCATCCCATTTGCCAGCTGTTCTCTGCATTTTAAAAAATCTCCCAGCTTCTTGTGACTCTTCTCTCTACTTCTCATCTCCCAAAAGTCTGTCATCTCCCAGCTTCTGTCACATAGTCTTGTCATGTTTTTTCTGGACAAGCCCCATGCAATCATGGACTGAGTTCTCTGAAATCATGAGCCAAAATAAATCCTTTCTTCCTCACATTGTTTCTATCACGTATTTTGTCATAGCAATGAGAAAATTAATATATGGGGCTGGAAAGGTGGCTCAGCTCTTAAGAGCACTGGCTACTCTTCCAGAAGACTTGGGTTCGAATCCCAGCACTCATATGGTGGCTGACAACCATCTGTAACTCCAGTTCCAGGGGATCCAATGCCCCCTTCTGACTTCTGCAAGCACTGCATAACATGGGTGCATGTAAATACATGCAGGCATAGCACTCATACACATAAAATAAAAATAAATAAAATTTTTTTAAAAGCTTGTTTTTCACTAAAGTCCTATACCTCTCATAGTTTGGTTGAAGTTGGTGAGTTGCATGGGTTGAGAGTGGAGGAACAGTACAGCTTATGTCAAAACTTAGCAATAGAGACAGAAGTTAGGACCCTCCCCCCAAAAGTAAAGAAATACTAGTACCAAGAAATAACAAAATATAACAGAAACAGACTAACTCTAAAAATTAACTGCTCCTGACAACCAAACAGATGAAAACCACATAATCACTCAGAGACCCAGGTTGGAGGAGGCGCCTCCATTTGGAATGTTAATTCTTTTAACAGATGAAGGAGCAACTGCAGTGGTTTCATATCAGCTCTTTTGTTTCAGTCTAGGAGTGCAGACTGCATTTTCACCTACAACTCAAGGATCAGAACTCATGGCCTCAGCGAACTGCAAACAGGACCAGAAATTGGGAGATGTTTTGTGAATAACACTGTTATCTGCTGTGATATCCAGGGAGAAACGTGAAGTGGGATGATGAGATAGTGTTTTGGGAAGCATAGTAGATAGAAGACATTGAAAATTATTCTTTTAGTTACTTTTATGTTGTTGTGATAAAACACCATAATCAAAAGCAATTTATGAAAGAGATTTTTTGGTTTATGGCAGAGGGATGAGTCCATAATAGCGGGGAAGCATGGCAGCAGATACAGGAAGCTAATGTATCACAGACACCAAGCAGAGTGAGTGAACTGGGATTAGGATGAGGCTATGAATTTCAAAGCCAGCCCCAAGTGATGTGCTTCCTACAACAAGGGCATAGCTCTGAAGGTTCCATGACCTCCCCTAAACAGCACCACCAACTGGGGACCAAGTGTTCAAATACGAGCCTATTGGGAGACATTTCTCATTCAAAGTACTATAGCTACCCTCATTTACTTTTATGAATGGATTCACAGTGGCCTAATAAAAGCAATACTGTCAGTGTTTTCTGGTTTGAAAAAGAAGGGAATTCGGTTTGGTAAATACTCTTCAACCTCCATATAGTGAAAACCAGTACACAGATGCCTCTATTAGCTCATAAAATTAGTGAAGGCAGTGTTTTAACTAAGGGGAAAGGTGTGGTACCTGAAAAGTCTACTTAGAAATGACCTGGTACTCAGTATAGAGGGCTTGGACTCCCCAAAGGTGAAAGGGGATTTGAAACTGTCCCTATTTATACTTAGACGATTCTGAGAGCCAGGAATACAGAGGAAAACACTGATGTTGTCACATTTCGCTGGTACCACTAGGTGTCACTAGTCGGCCAAAGTTAAAAACACCGGAAAGAAGGATGCAAGCTCAAAGGAGGTTAAAAAGGAAGCTGTAAAGCCGTAAAAGGTTCCAAAGAAAAAAACAGAAAGTGCCCCCAAGATGGTCACCAGGTAGCACTTAGAGGCAGCAGGAAGATTCATGAATTCTTCTCTAAGCTGTTGGGTCGAATAACTTCAGTTGTTAACTTGCGACACCCACCAGCGAGGAGAAGAGAACCTCAAATGGACAACTCCTTCTCTGGGATTGGCCTGTGGGATCTTAATTGTTCAGTGATGTGGGAGAGCTCAGCCCAATGTGGATAGTACTACCTACCCCTGGGCAAATGGTCCTTGCTTTTATTAGAAAGCAGGCTGAGCACAGGCCAGAGTCCTCTCTGCTTCAGTTCCTGCCCCAGGTTCTTGCCCTGACTTCCTGCCTCAGCTTCCCTTTGGACTGTGAACGGTAAACCAAAAAAACCCCTTTCCTCCCAGAGTTGGTTTTGTTCAGTGTTTTATCACAGCAATAGAGAAGCAAATTAGGACAACTATAAAGATTTTTAAATGCACTTTATGGATTCTTGCTGTTACCTAATATGTGTAATTGTGCATGTCTGATTTTGTGTTTATGTATATGCATCTGGAAAATGGACAGAGGTAATTTAGTCTGCTCTCCACTACAGCTTCCCAAGCATTAAATATTATCACATGACTAATGATGTGATAGCATCTCCAGGAAAGATAAAAGAAAGTTTCCCTTTCTCTCTCTCTCTCTCTCTCTCTCTCTCTCTCTCTGCAGTGTACTAAAGTATTGAGTATTGAAAATCAAATTGATGGCCAATGGACCTAAAATCTGCCTTTTAAAAATGTCAGATTATGTTAGAGCAAAAGAAGACTTTTCATTAGAAACGGAAACCCTTAATCCTTTGGTGACATAAACTGGAGACTTCTAACCTGCTCCATGTGCCAAACAAAATAATTTGGGAGAGCCAGCAGATAATGCAAATACTAATAAATTTATATATTATGGCTTTATTAAGTCACATATCAAAGCTAGATGGTTACCTTGTGATTTGGTCAGTGAACCAAATGGTCAGACGGGTCATTATCTTATAAAATATTACTGGTCATTCTAGATCTGTATACTGAGCAGAATAGAATCAGGGAAACTAGAACTAGAGGTAAATGTAGTATTCTGCACTTCTCCAGTGTTTACATGTTGGAGCTAATTTTTTAAATAATATTTATAAGCCAAGCATGGTGGCACACACCTGTAGTCTCAGCACTCAGAGGATGAGGTGAGACCAGCCTGGACATACCAAAACATGAGAAAAGAAAATAATGCAGGGGCTGGAGAGATGCCTCAGCCATTAAGAGCACTGGTTGTTTTTACAGAGGAACCAGGATCGGTTCCTAGCACCTACATGGCAGCTAATAACCATCTGAAACTCAAGTTCCAGGAGATTCCATGCCTTCTTCTGGCCTCTGCAGGCATTGTAATGACAAAGGTGTGCTTACATGCAGACAAAACACATAAAATAAAAAGAAATAAAATAATTTTTTAAAAAGCAAAACAATGTACAGGACACAGTGGGATAAATGGACAAGACTCCTGAGTTTCAACTGCCCTGGGTTCTTTGGGACACTCAGGGTCTGAAATCACTGTCAGCATATTAAATATAGGTTTCAATGTTCAACCTTGGGTTCACACTGGAATCATTTTGGAAGTTAAAAATATATTGTATTTCTTCCCCTAAGATTTTTACTTCATTGATTTGGAGTACAGACTGGCCACTGGATTCGTTTAAATTAAATTCCTTAGTGATCTAAAGTCTAGCCAAGGTTAAGAACTACTGTATCAAAATATCACTGGGTTTTTTTAAACTCCTTTTAGTGCGTGTGTGTGTGTGTGTGTGTGTGTGTGTGTGTGTGTGCTATGTGTGGGTGAGAGTGCAGGCACATGGGGCCTAATGTGTGCCTGTGGAGGTCAGAGCACAGCTTAGTGGCGCCAGTTCTCTCCTTTCATCATTATGTGTGTTCTGGGGACAGAACTCAGGTTGCCAGACTTGGAAGCACTTTTATCCTGTGAATCATCTCAAAGGCTTTTTTTTTTTTTCCTAAAACTGGGTCTCTGTGCTGCCCAGCCTGAACTTCAACTCTTGAGTCCAGGTGATCCTCCTCCACCCCCAGCCTCTACAGTAGCTGGTTCTACAGGGGTTTGTCATGTGCCAGTTTACAGAAACTCTTTGAAAACCTGCCAGCTCATCTAGCTTCCACCTCTGAGAACAAGTATGAAGAATATTTGTTATGTTGCTTTTAATTCAAGTATGTATAAAAAGAGGAAAATGCAGGTAAAATTTGAAAGTGAAAACACTCCATCTCCCCTTCAAAAGCACTTTTTTTTACTTCTTTAGAAAAAGTTTGTGTACATACCTGCCTATTTGTGTCTCAAGCAATAACTTATTTGTATTAAAGAGAACACGTTACACATGGCAACTTACGCAGAGTCTTTCAATATTCATTATAGTGTGGAACTGGACCTTTGAGTATGCAGTCTATGGCTAAAAGCAATTCGTATGTCTGTATTGTATTTTAGTATTGTATTCAACCATTCACCTGGGCTGAAGATCACCTGAGGTTATTAGTTCATTGGTATAAACAACCTTACACACAGATTACATGCGTCATGATGAACTTCTGAGATATCTATATCATCTATATCTATCTATCTCTATCTCTATCTCTATCTATATCTATCTATCTATATATTTGGTATATTTGACACAGGGGCTCCCTGAGTCGCGGCTGGCCTGGAACTCTCCATGTAGGTAGACCAGGGTGGCCTCGGATCTCAAATAGATCCACCTGCCTCTACCTCCCGAATACTGAGATTAAAGGCGTGTGTCACCAGGATGGCTTGCAAATATTTTTTACGCGGTCTATTCCTAGGCAGGAGGGTGCTGAGTACATTTAAAATTTGAATAAATGTAGTGTGAGATCAATAATCACCTTTAAGAAAACCTGACACCGTGCACATTTATCCAACACAGGACTGCCAGGTTGGAGATGCTAGCAGGGCGCAGTTGGCCAGCTGTCAAGGGCAGGTCCAATCCTCTCCAAAGGCCAGCGCTAGCGATGGGGTGGTGTGGGGTCTTCTGGGGCGGGCACTTCGGGACCACGTGACCTTTTGTCCCTCTCCACGGAGAC